CCTTCCCCCCACGACCCCATTTTCTTTCTTAATGGAGAATAATATAGCTAATTTTAAAGATAGATTTACCAATTTATATTTGAAGCCTAAACTTTGCAACCACCACTGTGCCACCACAAAAGACATGCAGCTGGTCCCCTCCCACTCCACCTTAATAGGAGCATTTATTATTGGCTGTTACCAACCAGATCCACTTATGTCCATGGGAGGGCTGCAAGAATTAGTCCTGTAATGCCTTGTCAATAAGCACTATCTTGCAGCTCCCTCTTTATCAACCTCTATAGTTCCTCTCATTTCTATTTTATACTGTTCACGTCTCTGCTGCCCATGCATACTTTCAAGACATGAAAAACTCACCATGAGCATAGGCCATTTTTTGCTTAAGTCAACTTTGAAATTTGATGTACTGTTTTAAGCAGTTTTCTCTGTTAGAAAATTCAGCATTATAATGTTGTAGTACAATGTTATCACTGGTAATGAGTGGCTGGATGGGAATGCATTTAATAGTGTCAAAATCACCAAAGTTTAAATCAAATGCAACAAGGAGTGGAAAAGAGCAAAAAGAAGAAACTCATCTTTCCTTATACCTCAGGAAAGAAGATTGCCTTAAAAGAGCCTGTCTCATGCTCTTAATCCTTTCCTGGAAAATTACTCTGACTCTATATTATTCCTAAAGGCTAATGGTTTGCCACAGAACTACTCCATGCTCAACTCATTCCCTTTGTTGACACTAAATGCCCATCCATTTTCCCTGTTGTGCCACCCATGGAAGGTTGGGAATACAGAAGTGCACAGCATCTGTAATCCTGCACACAGAGTTTAGGTAGCAACCGAACAAAGTAAACAGATTTTTCTCCTTATGTCCTCATCTAGGCAGCTGGAGAGAGGCAAAATCCAGTCCTGCGCAGCTTTAGTGGGTTGGAGAGAAATGACAGCTATTGCCATGGTGGAGAAGGCACAAGTGGTCTCCAAACCTGGGAGGTGATTGCCTGTGCTTTGCACAGCTGTGAGCAGCAACAGAGAGAACAGGAACAGAATGTCACTACTGATCTCTAGATGCTTTCAAGCATTTTTAGAGAATCTGAAACACTAGAATAACCTCAAATAAGCAAAAGATCAAACAGCAGCAAATTTTCTATCTCTGAGTAGAAACCAATTAGAATGACAACGAAATAATTGGGGCTAGTGAGACAGAGAGTGTAGAAGATGACACCTCCTTCAAAATGACCCTTTTGTATAACAGAAGCCTCTTTTAAACACTCCTGAAAATAATGAGCTGCAAGCTGCAATTAACATGAAAAGTGGACTTATTGCAGAGAACAGTTTGAAATAAGTGCTAAAGCAAGATGAACTTTGTGAAAAGAATCCTGTCAGAAGCTCTTACTTTTCTCAGACTGAAGAGTTTCTGGCTAAAATTTCTTGCTCTCAATTACAAGGAGACTGAGCAGAGGAGTTATGGCAAGTTCACTATTAAAGTTAATTTCCAATAGGAAATAACAGTGGAATGAATACAAACCACGTGTTTGCAGCACAGTATGCTACACTTTGCTTACTTGTTTGGGTTGCGAACAACACCTCAGTCAATGTGTTCTGGACATTCTCTGTTGTGACTCAGTGGCACAAACCCCTGGGGTGTTGCTCGGAACTGCAGTGCAACTGTGCCCACGGCTGGGTTGTCATTAAGTAAATATAAGAAGTTCTTTGAGGGGACTGGTAGATGGCAAAGTGTATTTAAAAACTGAAATGAAATTCCAAGCAAAAAGAAAAGATTTTAACTGTGAACTCCAGATTTTGAGGTGTAACATGAAAGAATGGAAAATTAATTTGAAGCATTGGGCTAAAAACAGAATCTTAGCACAATTTGGCATATCATGCTGATATGTAGGAGGGAGCTGCTTGGTCCATCTGACAAAAATTTCAGTGCAATGTTGAAACCCTAGCACATAATAGAATTCTTATTCTAAATGTAAGACAAAAATACAATGTAAAGTTATATTACTGGTGGAAATTAGACTATGCCTCATCTTTCACAGAAAATAGAAGCAATTTTTACTTATTCCTTAATCTTTAGGACTTCAAGGCGGCTGAGAGTAGTCAAAAGGGGTCAGTCTTGCTAAGATTGGGACCTACAAAATGCATCATTATTCAGACAAGAATATAAGCAAGAAGTTAAAACTGTAAGAAGAACAGAAGTTATGACCATAAATGATTCTCTGCAAAAAGTGAAATTTGACTGTACATTTGCAATAAAATATCTATAAAATAAAAGTGACTGTACAAATTATACATGCAGAAAATTGAACGTCTGTAACAGTGAAACTGTGACATGCCCAAGATACATCAGAGATAGAAACTGAACCTCTCTAGGACGTGTTGATTCAAATCTTAGAATTCTTGAAATTACAAATTACTCATATTCATGAATGTAAATTCTGTTTGGATATTGCTGTGATTTTTTTTCTTGTCAGGAAGATTCTTTTTGTTTCAGTTTCCTGTAACTTGTTTCACAGTCCCCAAAACAGAGAACCTTTTCCAGAGGTCTTTAATATCTATCATTTTTTTACACTCTGAATGCAGCTAGATTAAGTCTTCAGGCAGAAGTGGTAATTTGCTTTCATTATCTAAAAGTACGTTGCTTTTCAATATGGAAATTTTTATTATTTCATTTTCTTAGTTGACCATAAGAAACTCCCACTGACATCCTGAAATTAGCTAAAATAAATATTTGTCAAGCTGCATTTTTAGGAATAAAGAGCATTGGTCCAGGTCCAGTTGATAATTATACTTTGTTAATACCTATGTAGGGTTCAACACCTTTTTCAATGTCCCTGTGAAATCACGAGTGTCTTCTTCCAGGTGTGGGTTTTTCTATCAGCATATACCTGACTGAAAGCATCTGATTCACAGCCTCTGCCAGGACAGCAGATGCTGTGCAAGTCATTTCAGAGTGATACAGTGTGTGCAACTCAAGACTGTAAAAGTAACATCTTTCCTCTGAAATCCAATTCCAAGATATTTTTGAAACCTCTTCTTTTTGAAAACTTTAACTTTTGAAAGTTTAAGAAAGAGAAAACAAGTATTTTCCTTATCCCTTGAGTCAATTTTATGTTGCTTTCTTATATTCATGGGTGTTGAATGCTTCAGAATTAGTGGGTTGGGGAACATTTTGCCTATGGCTTATGAGTGGGCTTTGTGCAGGAATGAACTCACACAAAGCCCACTGATACAGTCAGTTCTGGTCATCTGTAATTCAAGGTCAGTATCTGAGAAAATGATTACAGACTTCTGACAGACTGGGAGAAAGACACAGCACAAAGGCAAAAAGAAAAAGGGCTAGTACTTACTATGGAAGAGAAAACCAAAATGGATGGTTCTAGGTAAGAATCACATTGTAAACCTAAGATTTGCTCTAATCCTCACAGAAATGTAAAATTGGAGCAGCCATTTAAGTAACTGAAAGAAAACTGCCTTGATTGTAAGGCAATTGTCATCACTGAAATAATTTCCAGCTCTGTTCAGCTTTGCTCAGTTATGTCTGCAGCTGGCATGAAGTGCAGAGATTTAGAGAAATCTTTGAAATAAGTGCTAAAAATGTCAGCTCCATCCAGCTATACAAGACAGTGAAAAACTGCCTTTTTTCCCACTCGCACTTCAGGAGTTTAGGACTAAAACTCTTTCTCTTGTAAAATCTGATCAGCTGTTGCCTATTCTGGAGAAGGTAAAATTTCTGTGAATCCAGGATATGCTTAAATTTTAGATTCCTAATGCACAAATCTCCTTAAAGCAAATGCCTAAAATGCTTATATAACCTATAGTGAAAAGCAGGTGCTTTTGAAAATCTCTTATTTATTTAAACATGGGCAACTAAGCTGAACAGAGAGTTGATGTTCAATGGCTTTAGAGCTAGAAATAGCAAAGAGAAAATGTGCAGTTCCTGAGCTGTCTCACCAGATATTGTAGTATTAATTGTATATTCTTATATGAACATGTAACTTAACCCTGTGCAGCTTTTAAGTCTTTACATGCTAGATAAAGTGACAATCATTGTTAGGCCCTTTTCCACTAACTGGCAATGTAGGGGGTTGAAAAACAGGGCCACAACACCTAAAAGAGAGGGAAAACTCTGTATGAAAATGGCTTATGACCTTTTACAGTTGTTTCTGCCTCTTAGAAGACTGCTAGCCCTAACCACTTTTGTTGGCTGTCATTTATGACATTTTTAGATATTATCTCCTCCCACTCATGTTCCAGAGAGTTTAGACCCACATTCAGGCCTCTGTTGAAGATGTTTACATCCTGTTGTTTTATAGCTGGCAACTGCTGCTTTCAAATTCCAAACTCAGTGAATAAGAAATCAGAATTGGCCAAGAACCCAAAGCTGACATATCTTCAGTTTTCATCTTTGTGCTAGAATGCTGCTGCCATGGCTTTAGTTATCAACTGCTCTCTGTCTCTTTTTTCTGAACTGCAATCTGCCACCAGTTCTTACACGCTACATAGGAGAAGAATTGAGTGGATTGATAGTGCCTTAATAGAGCTATTAAACACACATCTATTCATAATTATTATTATCCAAAAATTATTTCCATCTACAGAAAAAATATTAGTCATACTCTGCTATAATTTACGAATTTGCGCTTAACTTGACTGAGACTTGATCCTCTCTGTTTGTAATTGAACTACAAAAAAAATCATATTTATTTCAGGGATTTTGCCTCAGAAACAATATATTACATATTTTTTAAGAGAAATTATAGTTTCTTGAAATGAAATAGCTGACAAGGAAGCTCAATTTTTAGGAGCTTTTAGAGCTCAAATATCAAAAAAATCCAAAGCCAAAAGGAAACATTCTACAGTTAACTCAGCTATCTGAATTCCTTTACATATATATTAAAATATATGTAGATATGCCTATGGTACATTATCTATCTATCTATCTATCTACTATTCTTACTTTCTTTTTTTCTTCCCCCCCACCTAACCAGGAGAATAGAGCTCACCAGGCAGTTCTAATGGAGGAATTGCAGTCCCCGTATTTGCAGTTGTAGTAACTGGCACACATTGCCTGCAACAAAAGACGGTTTTGATTAAAAAAATAAAATAAAATAAAATAAACCCTCCTGCAGGATCAATTTAGCTCAATTACATTTGTTTCCTGGCTACAGAAAAAAAATGACACCCATTCTTCCTTTTCTATCTGATCTGAATGAGAAATTCCATCATTTTATTTCTTTACTGATTCTTTCTCCTGCTAATATTCACTGCTTTTCATTCTGCCTTCATCTACAATTTATCCAGTAAGCATTCATAGCATTTGGGTTAATGGAATTATTCAGAAACACTGTTTTAAAAAAACCTGAAATTTAGGATGAAAAGAAATAGAAAACAGAGTACACAGCTTGAACTTTCTTTGAGTTACTTGATTTTGAAAGTGTTTGGAACAGTCAGTCATCCCAGCTTATTGCAGCAACAATGCCAAGAGACTTACTACATATTTTTATTATGAAAAAATTTTTGTTTTAAATGTCAACAACTTGTCAAGTCAGTGCTTTCACATTCCCTCAAGTTTAGGGCTTAATCTCAGGCCCATAAAAACAATTTCAATCTCCTTAGCAGACTTCAGAAGAGACAAGAGGAGCTTGTCTCAGTGAGGAGTCCCTGCAGCACAGATCACAGACTCCAGATTTGGCTGCCTGTTTCCCACACCACAAGCAAGCACAGTACTGCACCCGGGTACCATCTCTTGGGTCGGTATTGCTTCCCAGAACTTCACTAAAAAAAAAAAAAAAGAGTCTTTGCCAGTACCAGTTGCACTCACACAGCTTAAATTCCATGTTGGTCTTGACTCTTCCTCTCCTATCACCGTCACCCCTCATTTCAGGAGTTCCAGTGAATTTAGAGGCAGTCAGAGGTTTATAGGCCTGGATCTTTGGCCCAGCCCTGGTGAATGCCGGCAGAGTGACTCCAGAGCTTTGTTAGTCGCCTCTATCTGTTGAGGAACAGAGCTCCTGCCCTCTGGACAACTCTACTCTGTCATTCAGGTCTCTAGGAGTTCAACATAATGGCAGACAGGTCTGTGAATTAACAGGATACCAAGGGCTCCTGACATTCACAAGAGTTTTAAAGAAATTATTAGACATGATTAATGCATAATAATTCCCCTTTGCTTTTTAACAAGCTTGGCATTTGTCTATGAACCTTTACACCAGGGAAGGATACCTATGATTCTTTTAATCCTCTCTTAAAGATGAACTGATTCTAACTGGCTCACATGGGCTGTTTATAAGCTACAGAACATGTTAAGGAGGTGGAAAACTGTAATTAGAAATGACACTGTACAAACACCCACCTCAAAGGAAAATCACGTGTCCATATTTTCACAGATTATGGACTATCGGCAACTTGCCCAGCATCCTCCAAATGCAATAAATATTTAAAAACTGCATACATTGCACACACATTACCAGTACAGTAGCCAGCTGATGGAGCTGGCTTGGAGCACATCCCATCCTGCAATCAATAATGCTAAGACAGCCTTTGTCCTCAATGTTCAGAAAGTCACCTGTGTTCTGATACTCTCATTTTAGAGCTTTTTTTTTTTTAATTGGTAGTACTTTGAAACAATCTAAGATAAATATTTTAGAACTTAAAAGGGAGTCATATTCAAGTTTGACTGGAGTTTTATTCACTTTTCTCAAATCAATTTTTGAGATGAAACTTCAGAAGAATTATTTTTAGTGACTATTTTTACTTGCATTGTCTTCTTTAGAACATGATTTATTTCATCATTCTTCTGAAATCAAAGATTTTAATCTTAACATAATATGCAACAAAACTTGAAATATTGTCTAAGTTTCTTCCTTGAAAATATTTTTTTTAGTGTCAGTATCACGAATCATTGGTGGCATGATTATTTGCTTTGTTTTTCTCCAGTTGAACTTTTTTTTCATCTGATTTTCATTTATGCAAGTCAAAAACTAGAAAATAACTTGTAAATTTTAATATGACTTTATTTTTAATGCCATTGGACTTTTTCCCTAAATTTCTCTTCTAACAAATTCATTTATATTATAAAGAATGGAGAGCATATTTTTATTCTATTTTTCAACTTCATGATAACAAATCCTTAAAATAAACAGCAATTCAGCATAAAAAAAATATGCCTTAAATAAATCCTGCTTCCCCTCCTTTGAAAGGCAACCTCCAAAATATAATGAAATACTGTTATTCTTTGTCAGAAAAATAAAGTAAAAATATGTAAACTAGCTACTTTCCTTATGGATTATGGTCTGCCTGCTCTGTGCTACACAGATATTAATTTTGAAAGCTGTGTAGAATCTTGGGTTAGTTTAGATAGAAAATGAGTGTCTGAACAAAAATAAGGTTGGGTTCCTGTTTATAAAGAAAGGGTAAAACAGCATTTCTTCTGTGATGTCAAAATGGCTACAGCTATTCATGCCTTTATCTCCAGAGTGATTCAGAGGAACAGATTTTACTCCAGCTCTGTGCAATTACTAAAATTGCAACAGTAAAACAGGTCATTTATCATCCTCATAATACTATGAGAAATATTGAAATTGTTCCTTTCCTTCAGCCACATAAATCAGAGACTCTTTGCTATATTGCTAAGAAGTTGCTCATAATTAGTATGAAGCTCTCTTTTGTCCCTTAATATGTTTTTTTATTACTGTATTTTTCCATTTTTTTATGCTAGGAATGAAATAGAAAAATGATATGAACTAAATATTCATATTGGCATAAAACATTGCAAACAGATTGTCAATTGATGATTAGTTGGCACACAAAGCTGCAGGGAAAAAATATTTGTTCCATTGCTTTGAAAAATCTACTGTAAAAAACAAATTTATTTTCATGTTATATTATAGTATTTATAATTTATAATATTAATATTAAAATATAAAATTGTCAAGGAAAAAACCCCATATTTTTCCAGTTTGCTGATTTGGCTACTGGATAGTTATTCTTTTCAGAGAAATTTCCTACATTTCTGCACCACCCTCCGCCCCCCCCAACCCTTAATATATAGCTTTAAAATAGCACTTTCTAATTATATGTGAAACCATTGCTCTGCTGAAGTCTGTAAAAGCTTCTTCCACAGATTTCAATGGAACCAAGATTTTACTTCAGAGGAGATAAAACTCATTTTCATCCTAAGTGGATGGGTTTAATTAGATAAGCGAATTAACCTCAAGGATAATAACTTGACAGTTCAATAGCATTACACTTGGACTTTAATGTACGCGAATTCAAATAGTTAAGAAGAAATAGCAATCCTTGTATCTATAAAAACTAAAGAAAACAATGGCCCCACTCTGCCTATCTTAAGGAAATATCTGAGGCTCTGAAGTCTGCATTTCCTTCTACTAAGGGTCCAAAATGCCAAGTTAGAAGGGAAAAAGGGGATGGAGTACTTAAGAGCATCTGAGAATAAAGGAGATCTTCCTTTAGCCCAGCAATAGTTATCACCTCCAGCAGCCTGTCCATACATGTGCTTCTGCTGTGGGGATAGTGTGTGCATTTTCCACTTAAAAATCACTAGATAAAATGAGAGAATGGAATTTGATTAACAGAGTACTCTTATTTTGAGCTATATGCATGGAATGCTATCTAATTCCACAGCAAGGAAAATTTAAGAATATTCAGAGAAAAAAAAAAAGACAAAACCACAAAAAAAACAAATCCAGGCACTGGCTTATCACTAAGTAACAATTAACTCAGTATTTATTTCAGATTATGGATTTGATCATCAATTGGTTATCATTTCAGGTAATGATCCCATTTACTGACCTGCATAATACTTCCTTATTTTGACCATAAGAAATAAATTGTTCCTAGGAATCTGGTCTTAATGGAAATTAAATTCAAAATCATTCTGAAAAAAATTTCAATCTGAAGTGTGTCAAACTGATCTTTGCCAAGGAAAAATAGTTTTGTCAAAAATATCCGAGGCAACTGTGAATAATCATGAATTATATAACAGTTTTGTTGTCTATCCTGAGGGATAAAGGCATAAAAATATAAAAAATAAGTTGACTTTAAGGGCCACTCCAAGTAAAATAGACCAGGATAATAATTCTTTGGTACAGAATAGCTTTAATGATGACAAGGCAGACATCTTAGAAGCTGCAAAATTTTAATAACACTGCGGGGCTTCACTGACTTTGAGTCCTGGTTCCCAAGTAGCGATTTAATCTTTCCCTTTAACTGTGAAAAGCCTCTTGCAGTTTTACAGGTCTTGAAGGCTTTACATAGTTTCATACTTTACATCAAACTTGAATTATAATCTCCTGTTAGCTTGAGTTCTTTCTCTTCTATCTAATTTTTCTTCAAAGCAAGAGGCACAGTTTAGTGCAATTGTTCCTCTAAGTATCTCCCCAGGAGTGGTTGTTAGTCGCTTATATGAAGTGCCTCCACTTAAAGCACCAATTTGCACAGCAGGATCCTGCAGAGCAGTAGTGGCAAGACAGGGGATATTTAAAACAGTATTAAATACAGTAAGAAACTGAGTAGGAAAACTGAGCAAATAAAAATTAAAAAGAGGGTGGAATTTAAAAAAAATATTGGCATTAGGAACACAGAGCATTTGAATTTTGAAGGTTCAATGCAATTTTAACATTAATATATTTTTAGGGGAGTAGGGATTGATATTAATAAAAGTGATTCCTTGTCTCTTGGCTGTTCCTGGGAGCACAGGAAACCCTGGTTCAAACCCCTGGTCTGAATCAAGGGAAGAAATTACTTTAACCAAGCTGAGTCCACCACAATCTTTTTCCCAGAAGTGCAGTGGGGAGGAAGCCTTAAAGACAACAATTTCTTCCAAATATGACATGAAAACATTACCTTCCTCAGATCACATCCTAGAGGTCTTCCTGACAGTCACATATGAATGCTGAAAGATGACTGCTGCCATAGCACATACTCCAGTCAGTTATGGTGGTTTGCAAATTACAGAGCATCCATGAAGCTTCTTCCAGAACCAGTCTTTGCTGTCACAGAATTCCTCCTGTCAGAGGATGAAAACAGCAGTGTGGAATACATTTACCTGCATCTTACAACGAATGCTAAATGCTTGCAAGTTGTTCCTTCAATAGTTTTTTATCCCTCTCAGCTATGCGGTCTCTTCATTTTTCTGAAAAGAAAAAAATCAAGAGAGAGATTCTGATAAATTCCATGAATTCATGAAAGGAAATGCTGGAGGAAATACTGATAAACATAATAAGATAATATTTGATCTAAAACTTAGATTAAATGAGTAAAGATAATATTTTTTTAATTTTTCTCTTCTCTATATCCATAATTCTTTTTTTTAATGTATTAACTTTGCTTGATTTCATTGTCATATTTACGAGCCTTGAAACAGCAGGTGATAAAAGGCAATGTTTTATCGCACACTTAGATTTCTTTGATCCTTCAAACTTACCAAACCTCCAACTTACATTGGAAAAAAATGCCAACAAACCAGCTATTGGAAAAAAATTACTAGCTTCTCATTGTTTAACGTAACAGTCTAGCAGTGAATAAGTTTTCTGTTATAATGTGTGTATCATCTACACTATGTAGATGAGTCTTATATTTGTTCATAGACGATAAGTTCTGCTAAAAAAACTTTAACTACTGTAATATATGTTATTAAGTGGGTACATTAACAGACCAGCTGCACAAGCTCTTAAGACCAAGAGAATTGTGAAATTTAGATTGGGATTCATCTTCCTACACACATCCAGGGATATAGCATTTTTTTATATTTTACAGAAAACAATGCACATAGCTCTCCCAGTCAATAAACCTAAGAGAGAACCCCTATCAGAGCCTGTGAACTGGCAGCTCCTGATGGAAAGCATCCTATTCTGGTAGGCTGAAAGCTTGCCAGAAACAAAGACAAAACATCAGAGTTCCATTTTTCAGAACAAATGAGCTTTTCTTTTTCCTTGTGAAAAGAGCACAGAAATGGTACTTATGCTTCTGCCCTGGTCTTTTAAAGGCAATAAATGGGGTAATAAAATACTTTTTAGCTCCACTGAGCTCAGCTTTAGATTTCGTCTTTAAACAAAACAAACACTTGAGGCTGGACTGTTTCCAGAGCCAGCAGTGTGGGATCTGACTGTGTAAATCAACAGCTTTCCTAACAAGAGGAGCTAAGGCTCTGCTACCCACACTCCCATCAAGGTGCTGACTTGCAGCACATCATCTCACTCATACCCTCTTCTGCACATAATCAAAAGTGGTCCTTGACACCAAGGCCTGACATTCAGCATACAAAACCAGCAAATAGATATCCGATCAGGAGCAGAACATGAGGGACAATTCGTAAATAGCATAAAAAGCAACGGTCAAGACTTCTTTGGCTGCTTAACTGGTCTTCTGAGCACTATTTATTCCTGGCTACAGTGGTGGAGCTGTTTTGCAGGGTGCTTTTCCCAATTCACTGTGGTGCCTAGGATGAAAGCTTGAAGTAGAAAGCAAGTGATAATAACAAGAGAGATGAAGCAAAGATGGACAGAAAAGCCAGCAGCCTTACAGTGAATGTACTGCAGTACAAAGAGTCAAGACTATGAAACAAGAATGTCAAATGTTTTTACATACAGATGTTGACTGAAGTATATTTGCGGTAGCAAATTCTCATAGATAAAGACTTTGATTAGAATACCAGCTGGGATATGGCAATAACCACATATTCCATAGCAGAAATGCTATTAAGTTTCTTTCATAGCTGAAATATATTTGAATAAAAAAAAAGATTTGCATAGTGAAGTCTAACAAAGCATAAAAAAGGACACAGACTTCAGAGAGAATTTTTAGTTTCTTCCATAATGGATTATTAATGTTTGGAGATGTGAAAACTCAAGAAACAGTAAAATAATGCAAAAAATATTCTATAAAGGGATGGATAAGGAATAACATCCTAGAATGGATATTATCCTCACTAAGAATGAGACATTGGAAAAAAAATACAGAGAGGTCTCAGCTGGCTGGAAGCTGGTGAGTGTTGTCCCGATTTGCAAGAAGGGCAAGAAGAAGGACCCCCGAAACTAAAGGCCTATTAGTCTCATTTCAGTGCCTATTAAAGTTATGGAGAAGATTATTCTGGGAGATATTGAAAAACACCTGAAAGACAACGCAGTCATGGGTCACAGCCAGCACAGCTTCATGAGAGGAAAGTCCTGCTTATCAAACTTGATTTCCCTTTATGACAAGGTAACCCACCCAGACGATCAAGGGAAGCCAGTTGATGTCATCTTTTGGGATTTCAGTAAAGCTTTTGATACTGTCTCTCACAGGATCCTGCTGGACAAAATGTCCAGCACACAGCTGGATAAACATCATGTGGTGGGTGAGCAATTGGCTCATGGGTTGAGCACGGAGGGTAATGGTGAAAGCGGTAATATCAGACTGGCAACCCATCAATACTGAGGTTCCACAGGGCTCCATCTTAGGCCAGTGCTCTTCGACATCTTCATAAATGACTTGGACACAGGACTGGAAGGGATACTAAGCAAGTTTGTAGATGACACAAAACTGAGAGGAGCTGTTGAGTCCCTTAAAGGCAGGAAAGCCCTGCAGAGAGACCTTGAAAAGTTAGAGAGATGGGCAATCACCAACCATATCAAGTTCAACAAGGGAGAGTGCTGGATCCTGCACCTGCACTGGGGCAACCCTGGCTGTGTGTACAGACTGAGGAATGAGATGCTGGAAGATAGTGCCATGGAAAGGGACCTGGGGGTCCTGGTCAATGTCAAGTTGAATATGAGTCAGCAGTGCCCTGGCAGCCAGGAGGGCCAACTGTGTCCTGGGGGGTATCAGGCAAAGCATCACCAGCTGGTGGAGGGTGAGGATTGTCCTGCTCTGCTCTGCAAAGGTATGGCCTCATCTTGAACTATTGTGGCAGTTTTTTGCACAACAATATAAAAAAGATATTCAGTTATTAGAGAGTAACCAAAGGAGGGAAACAAAGATGGTGAAGGGCCTTGAGGGGAAGCCTTATGAGGAGCGTCTGAGGTCACTTGGTCTGTTCATCCTGGGAAGAGGAGACTGAGGGTAGACCCCACTGCAGTTACAACTTGTTTGTGAGGAGAAGAAGAGGGGCAGGCACTGATCTCTTCTCTCTGGTGACCCAAGGGAATGGCTTGAAGCTGTGCCTCGAGGGTGGTTGGGCCTTGGAACAGGTTCCTCAGGGAAGTGGTCACAGCACCGAGCCTGATGGAGTTCAAGAAGCCTTTGGACGATACTCTCAGGCACACAGTGTGACTCTTGGAAATGCTTAGCATATTCTGGGATTAAGCAAAAAGGCATTGGTTTGTTAGAACATATTGTTTATGGAGAAGTAGCACAGCATTTTGTTCTTGTCTCTTTTCTCTAGAAATGGAAGAAACGTAATGGGAATTGGGAAGGAATTAGAAAGAATTGGTCTGTTCTTTACTTATTTTCTTACTGTTAAGTTAGGCAGGTTTAAAGCAGAGAAAGTAACTTGGACTAAAGGAAAAAAGTGATTATTTTGTTGACAAAATTTCCAGTAAAGGGGAGTATCTGGAAAAAATTAATCTTACTTTAGCTTTGTGGGTAAAGTTTTGTTTAGGGAATTGAAATCAGGGGCTTCCATCTGCTGGCTGAATGGCACATCCATGGAGAAAGTGGACAGATAAAAACAAAAAGTATCTATTTGATGTTCCAGTGTAAACAGATTATGAGGGGGAAAAGAAATAATAACCCCTAAAAACTATCTTTATATCTGTTTGAATCTAATTTCCTTTTTGTGTGCATGAACAATTGGAATTGTATACCCTGATGAAGTGTCAGTAAGAACAAAGGTGAAGAGACCAAGATAGTACTGATCCTACAAGACAGCAAGAGTCAGAGCAGAAACATGAAGAGTAACTTCCCAGAAGTAAGTAGCTGAACCGAAGAGAAGACTATTTTTTTTTTTTTTATTGTTCCAGAAATAGTTAGCTGAGTTAACTTACTATCAACTAAGCTAAAAGTTTTCATCACATTGGTTCCCCTGGTAAATTCCAGTGTTCAAATACTTCTCAGCAACTCTGAAATAACTTGTCTCTATTCACGAAGGAATTGAATTACCATGCACTTAACGAGGGCTAGAGTGCATTTCTAGGTGGGTAACAGAAAGGATCTGAGCTTCACCCACACTTAATAGTAACTTCCAGTAGCTTGTTCAAAAGCTTGTTCCCAAACAGATGTTAAGATAAGAGATAAGAGATCTAATTAGATAGGAAAACATCTTTTTCAGTATTCTGGGTTTGACACAAGGTCATAGCTAGAATTAAATAGTAATATCAGCCTTGGGACATGGTCATCTGATCTTGGATTTTTTTAAGGTATGACTGATTTGGCAGACTGTGGCAGATACCAAAGAATAGGAATGATCAATCATTTCACCAGTTGCATATAATGTCTGCAAATGCCAATCCAATAGACATGGATGATGCCATAGGACAAAAAGGTTGCGGATCCCTGTAAAAAGGAAATTTTGAATTAATAGCTATTTTTTTCTTAGATCAACATCAAAAGTGAGATCTCCGCAAATATTGAAAATTTCTTCATATGTATGCATCCCTGCTGAGTTATGCCTGTTTGGAGAAGCTGGTCAGACCAGAAACAAAAACTGCCTGCTTCCTGTGCCTCCTCTGTGCTTCATGCTACTCAATGCACTACATTACGCTCCTTTAATTCTGTCATGGGCACAACATCTTTAAACAGGGAATAAGATCCCTTGCCAAACAATGAATTAGTGCATCTGTCAAATGAAGATAGAGCATATACGTCGACTTAATTTTGGCTCAAATGAAGTTCAGAAAATAAAATTGCTCTAGTCAAAACAGGTCTTCAAAAGTCTTTCATCATCTCCGTCATAGGTTTGCTGTTCATGTCAGTGGAAGATTTATTCATACTGTGACTGATTTTCCCATTCAAGACATGTGGACCAGGACTGGAACAACCAA